ACAAAATGGGATAGCCGAGAGAATGAATAGGACTGTTCTAGATAAGGTTAGGAGTATGCTTGCTACCTCCGGTTTGTCTAAAAAGTTTTGGGGTGAAGCAGTCAATACTGCTGTCTACTTGATTAACCGGTCTCCTTCTGTTCCCTTGGGTGGGAAATGCCCTGAATCTGTTTTTTCAAACAAGCCCCTTGATTTGTCTAATCTTAGAGTGTTTGGGTGTGCTGCGTATGTACACCAACAGGGTGACAAATTGGACCCTAGGTCTAAGAAAGGAGTCTTCTTAGGTTATCCTGAGGGTGTGAAGGGGTACAGGGTTTGGGATAGGAACCAGGTAGGTTTCAAGGTTGTGGTAAGTAGAAACGTTGTTTTCAATGAATCCGAGTTCCCTTGTCTGGTTAAGTCAGTTCCTGATTCTGAGTCGAGCCCTAGTAGTACACCTGTTGAGGTGGAGTCCATACCATATGCTGCTAGTCCTTTGTTTGTTAATCATGATTCTTCTAATTTGCATGATTCTTCTGAATTGCATGATTCTTCTGAGCATGATAATACCACCACTTCGAGTGAGGTGGAGCATTCTCATGTGCATTCAAATGACAATGAATCGCATGATGAGAGTGCTGATCCTAGTGATAATGTTTTGCATGATTACCAACTTGTTAGAGATAGAAGTAGGAGAGAAATTAGGAGAACTGCTGATAGCATGCCTGATTTTGCTTTCCATGCGTGTGATACTTCTATGTTTGCTTTCTCTGTGTTTGAGACCCTTGAGCTTAACGAACCTAAAACCTATAGGGAGGCCCTTAAGTCTAATGAGTCCGCTAAATGGCTTTGCGCCATGGAGAGTGAGATGGAGTCACTTAGAGCGAATAAGACTTGGACGTTAGTTCCTAGACCGCCCAATAGTTCCGTAGTTGAGTGTAAGTGGCTATTTAAGGTTAAGGAAGAGCCTAACGACATTAGATATAAGGCTAGGTTAGTTGCTAAGGGATTTACTCAAACGGAAGGTGTTGATTATGCTGAAATCTTTGCTCCTGTTGTTAAATTCACTACGATTAGAACTATGCTTGCTCTTGTTGCTCATCATGATTGGGAAATGAAGCAAATGGACGTCACCACTGCTTTCTTGCATGGTGATTTGGACAAGAAAATCTATATGACCCAGCCTGAGGGCTTTGTGGATCCCATGAAGAGTAATTATGTGTGTTTGCTTAGGAAGGCCTTGTACGACCTGAAGCAGTCCCCGAGGCAGTGGAATATCAAATTTGACCAGTGCATGTCATCTTTGAAATTTCACAAGTCCGAGTGCGACCATTGCCTATACTTTAAAAATACTTCTTCTGTGCCTGTATTTTTATTGCTTTATGTGGATGACATGTTGATTGTTAGTCCTTCGGGTGACGCCATTAAAGGTGTGCAAAAGCGTCTCAGTGAGAACTTTGCAATGAAAGACCTAGGTGATGCCATGAGGATCCTAGGCATTAACATTGTTAGGGATAGGAGTAAGCGTGTGTTAGTACTCAATCAGATTTCATACATTGAAAAGATTTTGAGTAAATATAACATGCATTCTGCTACTACCGTCTCTATCCCTATGGCGTCCCACTTTGTGTTAAGTAAGGATCAGTCTCCCAAGACTGCTCCTGAAATTGCTAAAATGAAATCTGTGCCTTATTCCAATGCTATTGGGTCTGTGATGTACCTCATGGTGAGTACTAGACCCGACATTGCCTATGCTGTTAGTTGTTTGAGTAGGTATATGTCTAATCCTGGTTTACCTCATTGGAATGCTCTTAAGTGGTTGCTTAGGTACTTGAAATCTTCTGTTAATCATGGGTTGGCTTTCACTAGGTGTACTGAGGGTGTTAAGTTGAGTGGGTATGTGGATTCGAATTTTGCTAACGATAGAGACAATAGGAAATCCACTACCTCTTATGTGTTTACTCTTTGCGGGTCGTGCATTAGTTGGAAGTCTCAACTTCAACCCATTGTTTCCCTATCCACTACTGAGTCCGAGTATGTGGCCGCTACCGAAGCTTTCAAGGAAGCCATTTGGCTTAAACGTCTCCTAACGGAGATTGGTAGTCTTAATCAGGATATTTGTGTGTTTTCTGATAGTCAATCTGCGATTCAACTGTGCAAAAACCCTGTCTTTCATGATAGAACTAAGCATATTGATGTTAGATTTCATTTTATACGTGATATTGTTAGTGCAGGTGATATCAAGTTGATTAAAATTCCATCTGAATTTAATCCTGCTGACATGGGGACAAAATGTCTCTCTGTCGAAAAGTTGTTGTCGTGCAAGCGCACGTTGAACATTGATTGCGGTTAAGTTGCCTAGTGATCTTACCCCTTTGCCTAAATGTGTCTTTGTGATCATTCGGGCAATCCAGCGATGATGAGTCTCATGTATGTTTTAGAGCTTTGCGCTCTACACCACTAAGGTCCAATAAGGTGGAGATTGTGTAGGTATTGGCCCGTTTTTTTCCTTTAAGCCCACTTCAACTCTTTTGCCCGGCCCCCTTTCTCTCGGTGATTACGCGGTCGTTATCTTTCTCCTTCATCCGTGCGATTCTTTCCTTCTCTACTCCTGTGTGATTCAATCGTTACTCCATTGAAGGTAAGTTACCATATTTGTCTCTTTGGTATGCCTATTTATACTTCTCTTTGTCGATGGATTCGAGAGAGCTTGGCCGAAACCCTCTTCTTCCTCTTTTTCGCACATTGAGAGCTTGATCGGAATTAGGCTGAGTTGGCCGGAAAATAGCCCGTTGGCTGACGCCCCTTTCCCCTTATAGACTGTAGTGGTGGTTCTTCATCCTTTGTGGGTGAAATCGGAGACCTGAGCTGGAACTTACAGTCTTGATTTTTTTTGAATGGATAATATTATTATCGTTATTATGCATGTTAGTTTAGAATTCTCTTTATAAGATTAGGCCCATTTTGTTTTTTTGCCCATAGGTCTTCAAACATGCAGGGCCACCCCTGGTCTTAGAGAAGTTTTTGCAGTGCGGTCTTGTTTTCATTCTATGGCGCCATTTCTTTGTTTGAGAATTTCGGTAGATTTTTAGTTGTTTTTCATTGACACACTAGTGTCTCGTGTGATGAACTGGGATTTAAAATGTACAAAATAAAACTCACTAGTTACATGTTAGGGATACTAGCGTGCTGGTCATATAATATGTGATCCACAATTAGTACTTTTGCAGAGATAATGTTGCAATATACGTAGTAATTAATTATTTGGTATGAATTTTCACTCTTTGCTCACATTGTTGCTAGTACTTTTTTGATACATCAGAACGAAATAAAATATATACACTTCATAATATGTGTAAAGAAGTTTTTAAAAATATTATAGAAACAAAATTTATTTACAAAACAAGTTACTATTAATATAGTGGCATGGTTACTTAAGTTAAAAATCGAACATAAGTGATACTCCGTATGATTTAGTTACTATTATAGCACTATACTTAAGATATATGTTAATCTCTATGTCTCATAAAATTTTTCTCACTATTTTGTAAGGTCCCAAAAAATTCTCATCATTTTCCTTTTTAAAAAGTTTTATGTTGTTAATATTCATTTACTTTTTTACTAGTACTTAACCATTATCATACATTTTATTTTATTCCTATTTTGTTAAACTCTGATCCAGATCAAATCGGGAGAAATTTTATGGGACGGAGTTAGTACCTTTTTGTAACTCTATTTATTTTATAGAAATTGCCCAATATAGGAGTAAACATAAACATAATTGCACAAATAGGGGTAAAACTTAAAACTTCCTTCAATAGAAGTAAACATTAATTTTGTACCCTTAATATCCCTAACTTAGTTAGTTCTAAATTATGACTTATTTGATCCTATTAAAAAAATCTAAGTTCATTCACTGGAAATGATACCTTTATGCAGGCCATTTAATTTTTAAAATAATGTAAGTTCATCCCAACAATATTAAAATATTAAAAAAGTTATTTTTGTAAAAATATAAACTTTAAAAATAAATAAAAAATATATAAACTATATTGAAAAATATAAAAAAATTATGCAGGCCTTTCCCGCAGCCTCGGTCATCACCCAGCAATGTCACCTCTGATCAGCGACAAAAATGCCATTTTATGTAAAAACTGTCATAAAGATGACAGTTTTACTCTTTGAAAATGCCAAATTTTCCCAAAATCTGCCATCTTGATGGCATTTCGGGAAAATGTTGGCATTTTTTCGGTGATCGGAGCTGGTGGTGTTGGGAGGTTGTTGAGGCGGCGACAGATGCCTACATATTTTTTTATAGTTTTTTCATTTTTTATATTTTTTTTTGAATTTTTTTATTTTTTATTTTTTTACTTTTTATTTTTGTATTTTAATAATTTTTTATTTTATTTAATACGGAGTATATTTTATTTGAAATTTTTTGTGTTTTATTTACAATTTTATTATAAATTAATTAATCTTATAGAGTAATTCTTTTATGTTTTAATTATTAATAAAAGTTGTTGGGGCTTAGGTAGGGGTATACTTGTACAAACACTAAAGTTACTCCTATTCAAAACATGGTACTCCTATTTTTGCATTTTGCCTATGTTTTACTCCTATTTGGGGAATTCTCACAATTTTATCCATAATTTTTTTATTCTATACATAAAATTATCAAGGACGTTGTAAATGATTTTACTTTTAATTTGGGTAGCTGTAAACAACTTGCAGGACTGATGAATAATCATACTTGAACCCGAAGCAAAGAGTCCATCCGAAGAAAATCAGTTGGGAGATTTCAAATCGTAGTGTAATAATTAAATAACTAACTAACTAGTTTCCCAATCCTAGTGTAGTAACTACTTTCTAATTAATTGCTTTGGTTTTTGGAAACTAAAATATTCAGAAAAATAGAGAATAAGTCGGAATAGAAACCCTGAGCAAGAAGGATGATCATTTCCAAAACCTATATATATTTCATTGCTATTTCTCCATCTCTTCACATCATCTTTCCGCTCTCACAAATAAAAAGAATAGCAGTAGTAATTAAAGTCTAGTATAGTAGCTCAATCGATCATGGCGGGGGCCGGGAAGATGATATTGTCGCCGCTTCCAGGCGGAGGGTACGTTCAGCTGCGGGAGGGCTATTCCAATTTGGACCTCCTCGCCGCCGTCTGTGAGGCTGCTTGGGAGCAGATGCAAAAAAACCCTAACACTAATTCATCGTTTTCTTCTTCTTCCTCCTCTCCTAAATCAGTATTAATCCCGAGGAGGAAGAGGAGTCGTCCAAGTAGAAGTAGAAGTGGGGTTATTATGGCAGCCTCCGCCTTGAAATGTGTGGTCCCCGGCTTCAAAACATCGTCAATCGGTGGAGGACCCGGCAATCAGAAGAAACGGGCGGCCAAGAAAATCAAGAAGCGGGTCGTCGCCGACGAGAACCAGCAGCCGGCGGCGGGTGAGCCAGGGCCCATGCCGGGGAGATTCAGGGACGGGATCCGTCAAATTGCGGGGCCAGGCGCGGAAATAACGGAGGAGATGCTGCTGATCGAAAAGGAGATAACGGCGACCGATTTGAAGCCCGACCAAAACCGGCTGTCCTTCCCTTTGAAACAAATGAGAAGGACGGATTTCTTGACGGCGGGAGAGGAGGAGCGGCTGGCCACGCGCCAGAACAATAACAACAATGTGGGCTCACTCGACGTGGCGCTGATCGCGGTTGTCAATGGTGAAATCGTAAAGCGTGAAGTTGATTTTCGGAGATGGGAGATGCAGAAGAAGAGCGGGAAATCCAGCGTGTCATTAGTGGTGACCGGCACGTGGAATAAAATCAAGGGCACCCTTGGACTGGCCAAAGGTACAAAGGTCCAAATATGGTCCGTCCGAGTTGACGCCAAACTATGGTTATCACTTGTTGTCTTGTAGATCCATCCATGCGTACTTCTCCGGGTTTGGCCAGACCCGGCACGGCCGGTGCCCTAAGACCGTCACTGTCTCCCCTTAACACGGTCTCTATCTGCGGCATTGCCTTATTGCGGGCCTTTGGGCATGACAGAAATGCTGTAACATTTATGTAATTATTTTACGTTCAATAAAATTTTTGATTGATTTTTTTGTTAATATTATGATATCTTTTGATCGATAACTCTTTCCTTTCATGCTTCTATGTACATTCTTTAGTTGTTAATGTTCCTTATATTTTCTGTGTTTGAGAAATACATATTGGTACATATAGTAAACTAATTACGTACAGTACATAATAGTTGCTTTTCTTTGAAAAGTAACTTGTTAATTACATAGAGTATATGTTTTGATCATGGTAAATTTTATGGTACCCATAAGGTATCATATCTTCGTCCATATGGACGAATCAGAATGTTGAAGTTGAATTATTTAAATCTAAATTAAAAATGATATAATGATTTGGACCAATCAAGTGAATGATAAGTAGGGTACCTCATTTTTTAAATGGATATCGGAATTGTCACATTTGATCATTCTTTTATGCACGTTCCTTATACGTACTAGTATATGTAATGAAATTGGTAGTTCATATATATATATATATATATATATATATATATATATATATACATATATATATATATATATAATTGTTGTTTCATTTCTATATGCTCGTCGTCACTACTTTGGTTGTTGCTATACAATTGAGAGCTCTCAATTGCTCTACTTGAATTGACCTCTAGTTGATTTAATTCACTTTTCGTGCCACTGCCAATTCACTTGCAACACGGTATTAATTAGAAATTTCCATATATATATATATATATTCGCACTATAGTTTATACTTGTAAAGTTTTCTCTGGCCTGGACACATATATGGTTAATCCAAATCATGGCATATGTATTATTTTTGAAATGAAACTAATAAGCTATGTTTTGAAAGGCTAAATTTGTATATATATGGAATTAATTTCACTTTAATATTTAATTCATGTCTTTCACTTTCTTCACTTTTGGTACTTGAGTAATGTTTCTTGACCATTTGTGGTCATTCTCCGGCGATTGTAACCACCGGAACGACCATATATGGGTCAAAACACATAATATAGTCGTGTACCAAAAGTAGTCAAAATAAAAAAAATGGATTAATTGTGAAATAGGTGTGATACTGGTAAGACCAAAATGGAATTTATTCTTTGTGTATGTGTATATTATCTTTGATATGCAATGATAAAAAGTAACATCACAAACAACATAAAGCATCTGATGTGTTGGTTGTTGGCTCATCCATAATTTTGGTCAGATCATGCATGCAACAACGTAACATATTTTATACGGAGTATTTATGAATGGTTTTGTGGAAACTTTTCTAACTTAATTATTATACTTATTATGAAAATTCTTTCCTGGTCCGTTCATGCTTTTATATATTCTCTTAAAACTATATATATATATATATATATATATATATATATACACATACACACACACTATCTCATTTGTTCTACTACGTATATGTTTGTACGTGAAACTGAAATTAGCAGTTAAAAGTTTTGTTGTTTACAATTTTTTAAGTGCTAAACAATCTGCATGCAAGTACGTCCACATTGTGTAATAATATCGTTCAGAAACTGCGCATCAGGGAGTGATGACTTATATTGTTCGAGGCAGGTAACGAGCTTTTGGGGTGAATCGTAGTTTGAGTAAACCGGGTACATGAAATAGTCTTCATCATCTTGGAGCGTTTTAGACTGACTTCTAGTTATCAGTCCTTCTGTGGAGTCATCTGTTATATGGGTTGGCTTAAAGATCTGAATTTCTCCCGGTCTTGCTGTTTTGTCGACATCAGCAATTTTTTCTGCCCATTTGGCTCATCCCCGAATGCTTTCTGTACTTCATAGTTAAAAATGAGTTTGGAGACGGTGATTTCCTCTAAATCACCCGGCGTGTGGTTCCGATGTCTAGTTTCCTCCTACTCACAAGATAATTTTGCAAAATTAGAGAATACGGACAAGAAATCATTGAGCTTGGAGTTGTGTGGGCCCGTGGGGACAATAGTGGAGGTCCCATTAACTTTAGAAATTATGAGATTAGGCCCTAATTTGTTGAGTTGAGTGGAGATTGTGATGTTCCCAACTTTTATGCTCCGTAACTGATTAACATAATTTGGGTCTGTGATATATAAAACTGGGCGGTATCCAAAGGGCTATCCAAAAGGGCTATCCAATTTCATCTCAAATACAATTCGCAGCTCTCAACCAATGTAGGCGTGCCTACAACGCTTGTTATTTGTTAACTTTTCTTGCGACCTTCTATTGTATTTTCCTTTATCGAAATTTGTACTTGAATCCCCTTTTTAATAAACTGGAAAGTGTTCCCCGGCGCTTTCCCCACTTCCAGTGGTATTTCCGGGCAAAAAAAAATCATTCAGAAACTGCTCATTATTAATTAATTTAGAGTACGTGTAGCCGGCCTTTAGTTTAATTTGATAGTAATTTTAAAAATCACACATAGTAATATATGTACATATATGTATAATTCTAACAAATTGCCCAATATAAAACTAAAGCATAAGGAAAATGCGAAAATAAGAGTGTACTTTGCGGCCAAGATTGATGACAGTATTGCTTGATGGTGGCAATTCTACTTGATAATGGATTAATGGATTAATTTTATATGGTACATATGACTTCATAACTATGGTATTATTTGATGTGTCGAATGTCTACAACTTTTTAAAATGAGGGCGGGCATTTTTGCATTTACAATCACTTGTACTCCTAAGAGGTTAATTATATGAAAAGGTCATTGTCATAGTTTTGCCCGGTCCTATTTGAGTTATTCTCTCATATATAGGGCAGTTTGACAGTCCAAATTTTCACACAATTGAACTTTACACCCTGTTTTGAAAAAGTTCACGTGTGCACCTCCTTACCTTATTACAAATTATTCCCTCCGTCCCGGTCATTTCTTCCGGTTTTGACCGATATCGCAAATTTAGGTAGTAGGAATAAAGTGAAAATATATGGTTGTAGTTATGTAAGAAAAAAATAATGAATGTGAACCACATATTTTTCCAAAAGTGGAAGTTGGAAGAATTAATTGGGACGGCCTAAAAAGGAAAATTGGAAGAAATGACCGGGACGGAGGAAGTATTGTATTTTCCTATTAATCCTTCACAAATTCTTGAAATAGTAAAGTGCATAAATTAATTTTTCTAAATTAAGAGAGTAAAGTCAAATTGACTACAAGCATACTAATGTTCAGCAGTTTATAGATGGTGCTAATTATAATGATAATAATTATCTATTTGTTGGAAGACATACATATAATATAATCAACCATTCTTGATGTACACACCCTTGTACACACCTTGTACACACCATGTTTGTGAAGCTTTTTTTTTGTCTGTGAATCTGGTTCACAGACAATATTTTGTTTGTGCAAAACATTGTCTGTGAATCGATGTTCATAGACAAAAAAAAGGTTTCACAGACATAGGTGTGTACAAAAGTGTGTACAAAAGTGTGTACAAACATCATTTTTCATAATATAATGACTGAACCATATATGGAATACTTTCTTCAAATTGCAGCCGACATCAATCCGGATGTGAAAAAGCTTCATTTGTCCAAATAATGCTCTCGATGTCTCCCTTTATACATCATCATTTGTATTAAGAGATAAGAGAGTTAAGTTCCTTATCCATCAATGTTAAAATGAAATTGTTTTTTCTAATTGTAATTGCCGCCATTTTTTACGTTTAAAAATATAGGAAAGAATGTCTTGCACAAAAATCCCTTAACCCCTTTGTTGGTAGAATGGTAGAATTATTAATTTATGAGTTATAAGGAGGAATATATGTCCTTACAAACTGAATGCGATGTTATAGATTACAAACTGAATTATTATTACCCTCCTCATTACGAAATCAAAGATATCTTAACTTCTCAACGGCTAAGAGATCCACTAGAGGACATGGAAATTATTTGAAGTAATAAGTCATTCATGTTTTTACTTCAACTTATTTCAGTAGCAAGCTAGATCAGACAGAATAGACCAGATTGAAACAGATCATACTTAAACAAATTAATCAGATTTCGACAGTTATAAAATATATTTACCAGACCCACATGTTTCTTGTAAATATATAATTCCCTTGAAAGTGATGTAAAAGGAAGGCAATCACACATTTATTAAACCCTAAGATAATTCAATTCTATCCCATTGATTATCGACTTCTATATTATTAGCTCAATCTCTTAGAAAATACAATAAGTTTGGATTCCTATGGTCCATCATTTGGTGCTTACATTTAAATATTGGAGCAATAATCAAGTGAGATCTCCCCCAAAATTCCATAAATTTATCCTAATTTTTGTAAAATCCAGCGACACTAAAGTGAAAATTCAGCAAGTTGAGTTAAATTCAACATGTACCATGCACGTCTTTTTCAGTATACTCTTACCATATAATTTCCGATGGAGGAATCCTGCACAGATTCATTAGTTATACAACCACATTGCAATCAAGTAATTACAAGATTAATGACGGATACAAATAAAGATTAGGGGACTAAATTTGCAAATTTCACTTCAATTCTTTATGCCTACAGACTATTACTACCTTTTGATTAATTATCTCTACGTAACACTCCTTCAATTCTAAGTTCTTCCCGGGCTTTGAATTCCCTGCATGATCATATTTGGATAAATAAACCACACGGTTATTACTTATTACTATAGAAATTGCTCTAAATAGAAGCAAAAACGTTTTGAAAATTCAAAATAGGAGTATCATGTTTTTTATTCCCTGAATAGGAGTAATCTGCCAAATTTGAACATAAAAATGTCATGTCTGACTAGTAATGGCAAACTTGGCAGAAATTTACTCATATTCAAAGAATAAAAAACATGATAGTCTTATTTTGGAATTTCAAAACTTTTTTACTCTTATTTAGGGAATTCTATCTTATTACTATGACATGCACTTTGTCGTGGTGTGCACTCAAAGTAAATACAATACAACGATTATACGTAGTATAACGAAGTAAGGTTCGTATCCACAGGGAAAGAAATACTTTTCTTTTAATTAAATAAAAATAACAAATGGGGGGTTTTGATTGTTGTTGAACTTGAGGTATATTTAAATACTAAGATGAACGACTTATGTGGTTTACCTTAATAGAGATGAAGACTTGGTTTTGCTTTTATCCACTTAATGAAATGTTCGTCGATCCCAGTTATATCTTTAACTATCTTCCTCTCGAATACTCAATCAAGGAGTATATCCAGTTCATCGAGGGTAGTTATTAATAACGAGACGCATTCATTGATAAAACTTACTACCGAGTTAATATAGAACACGCGCCATATATTAACCCGATCGTAGCAATAAAATCAAGATGAAAACGATTGAGATTGATAACTTCAACACAAGCGGTTTATTGGTTTGATCGATGTAATTAATTCCCCTTAGATTATTAACCATGAGACGCATGCATTAATAATCTCAGTTTACTACCGTTGAAAGAACCGAATTAATAACAAGCGTATTAATCGATTAATTCTAGTAATAATTAATATATAAAACAAAACTAGTTGATCCTTTAAGTAATGTTCAAAATATTAATATGAAATATGAATAGGAACTAATTAATACTCAAGGAAGAATATTAAAGAAGATGAATCCTACTATAATTAATATCAAGATGTTAACTAATTGTCATCTTAGTAACACTCCCCAATATTAACATAGAGGAAGAAATAACTATTACTATAACTAATGTCAAGATGTTAACTAATTATCATCTTAGTAACACTCCCCAACATTGATATATAAATAGTATTTAAAGGAAGAATTAATATTCAAGGAAGAAAATTAAAGAGAATAACTCACAACTTACAAATTCATTAAGCTTCAAAGTAGCAAAACCGAGATGGAAGAGTTTAGCTCCTCATTTGTAGACTAAACATGATGAATATATTAAGAAATAACTATTCTAAACTGGGCGTAGAAGTATATGTGAATTGGTGATCTAATTGTGAAGAGAAGGGGGTGTATTTATAGGATTTTGGGGAATGCAGCTCGGGTACCCGATCATGTATATACATGGTACCCGACCGGGTATGTGTAGAACTTTAGATCCGAGGTATACTCGATCGATCTCGAGGTTAGAATTGAAGGCATACCCGATCGGGTGTGTCGGTGTACCCGATCGGGTATAGACACTCAATCGTGGTTAAAATCTTCCATGCATGTTCCTTTGTCTTTGAATCCGATCCGATTTGAAGTTTCAACAGGATACCCGATCGGGTATAGGTCATACCCGACCGGGTACAGACCAAAAATCAGGATGTTCTATTTGGTCTTGTGATTCTGCACCTTCCTTCCGAGTTTGGGGTTCACCAACTGCCCTTTGAGTGATCATAGACCTGTTTGAGCTCAGGATAACCCTAATCTAAACAATTTACAAGTATTTAACAAACTAAACTATTACACCAAAAGTGTGTAATTTCTAAAGTAACAATCAATCAAAACTAATTAAAAACATAAACATACACATGGAAATTACACGATTATCATACTACCTTCTTTAAACTCACCTTATGAGATTGATCATTCAGCGTGGAGTACTGTGACTAATTCTTTTGATGGATATACGAATATAAACATAAGTATCCGGTTTCCCGGTTAAATGTAACCTGTTTCTCGGAAGCCGCCGTTGCTGGGGTTCGAGCACATCGTCGCCATCGTCGTCGTTTAACCGGGAAATCGGTTACTTACCCACCAAAAGGGCTTAATTGAACGTTTTTTAATAGTTCGAGGACTTAATTGAGTGTTTGTAAAGTACGAGGGCCTAATCGACTTTTTCGGTATAGTACGGGGGCTTATTTGATAGTTTTCCCTAATATTTATCGTTTGGTTATAGGTCAACCGAACATGGTATAATTTCAAAATCTTAATCATACTATGAACTACTTTTTCTTTTTGATCGATTAGTCATACCTTATGTATTTAAAACTCCGATCGATTAACAGAAAAAAACACAGGTTTTTCGGTTTGGAAATCAGTTACAGTTTTTAATCTTTTTATATTCACCCCTGTTTTCAACATACTTTTAATTTATATCCACCCCTACTTTCAACATACTTTTAGTTTGTCGGTGACAGAACAAAAGAATGAAGAACAACAAATCATAAACATTTTTTTAAAACACTCCCAATTAAAAGATCTACTAAGCTAGTACCTGGTAACACATAGGACATGTTCATGGGTAGGGCAACACATAGAACAACCACATACAACCATGAACTACATATATGTACACTTTTATTTGATTAATTATAATTAACTACCTGATTCAACTCCTAATTAAACGACCAAATCAAGAAAATGCCTGCTCTTAATAAATTTAAGCGGCAGTGCAAAGTGCTGGGTTCTGCTTTCCAGTGAAGGTGGGCTTCACATTGGTACACGTGGATTTGGCGGCCCCACCACTGAACTTCAAGTCTATATCGCCTACCTCAACCCCCTCGCATGGCACCCCACTGCTGCAAGCAAGGATCACAGCATTCTCGGTCCCAGAAGTTCCTGTTATGCCCTTATAGCTCACTTTGCTGATCTTCACCTGTGATGGCTTTTGCTTGGTGCATTGGTTATTGGGGCAGTACTCTTGGTCGATCACAATCGGGTTTTGGACGCCGTCCATCGTTAAGTCCGTGTAATGGATATCGGTGACCACTCCCGGGTGCGAGTCGGGCCACGTTTTGATTCTCACGCCGTTGTCTGTCTTGATGAAGTTACACTTCTCCACGAAGACGCCTTTCACGGGCGATTCGCCGGGCGTCTTTCCGAGACTCCCGACGCTGATGCCGTGACCGGGCCCGCACGTCACGCCCGTGATGTGAAGGTTTTCTGTCCCATCTCCGATAGAGATGCAATCGTCTCCGGTTCCAATGGTGCTGTCTTTAACGTTAACGTCCACTATTTTCGCAATGTGAATTCCATCTGTGTTGTGGCTGTCCCCCGGGGCTTTGATGGTGACGTGGTCGAACGTTAAGTTCTTACCGCCCAGAACGTTAACGTGAAACAACTTGCTGTCTAGAGAAGTTATGTCCCGGATCAATGAGTTCGTCAAGAAATTCAAACTTAGATTCTGCATCAACCATCCAGAAAAGAATATGGTAAAAGGTCTTTCATACTATAAAAGAATATGGTAGAATTTTCTTTGTGTTAATCTCAAAATACCACTTATTCACTCATATTTTAGTTGGGAATTTGTAAAAGAAGTAGCTAAAATCTTTTGGAGTATACAAGTATTGACAATTAATTTATTAACAGTTTAATACGGAGTAGTTTATATTTTGGAAAAACTGAAGTCTCGGGCCGGAGTATATGGAAATATACTCCATCTGCTCGATTAGATGAAAATGCATAAAATTTGTTGAAGAATATGTTATTCATTTCTCTAAACCCCATTTATGAGGCTGATTTAGGATAAAGTTAGTTCATTTGACAAAGTTTAAGTGAGTTAGTTTATAATTTGCCACTTTGGTGATGTGGATATATAATGGAAAATAACTTTAAATAATACTCCAAGAATGAGTTTTACTAAATGCGAAGTAATACGTACTTTGGAAATAGATTTTAATAATACCAACTGTTTAAATATAGACCAAATATGATATAGAGCAATTTTTTTACTAAATATTTAACCATTTAACTCATCAAAAACTTGTACCAAAATATCTAAAAAGTGAATATATTTCCAAGCTAAGTATCATTTATTTGATGGGTTGTCATTAGTTTTTTATGTCTTGAATGACCAGTTTTTTTGTCAAAAAGTGACTCCGTATTATTTTTGTTTTACATTCAAATAGTTGGTATTATTAAAAGTCATTTTCAAAGTATGTATTATTATTGATTCATGGATGATAGTTGGTATTATTAAAAGTTATTTTTCCAAAATAGAGCAATTCTTGGTGTACAAACATTTTTTACAAGGCAACTTATGAACGAAAAGTGTGTACCAATAATATTGTGCTATATAATAACATCTCCAGAAAGACTTGGGCTTACATTAGGAAGTTTATTGCAGGCTCCAGTTTTCTTGCAATCATTTTGGTCCCAAGATTTGGCTCCTTGGCCGTCAAGAACGCCGGTGCCGGAGAGTGTGAATCGGTCGACGTTATTGATGGTGAGCCATTCCTTGTTGCTGTCGAGCGTGGCGGGGTCAGCCGGAGCCTTTAAGGTGGCGTCGATTCGGAGCTCAATTGGGCCTTTGCATGGTCCAACAAGCACTACTTGGGTCATTGGATACTCTCCTTTTGGGATGACAATGGTGCTTCCTGTTGTGGCTGCACATGCTTCCTTCCATGCGCTCAATAAATCCTGTCACATTTTTTATTTTCATGATAATTTGTCAAATTTTCAATTAACAAAATGACAAAATTGCTTGGGAAAATGTTCATAGGTGAACATTGGTGATGTGTCACAATCTTTTGTAGATTTCAACACACCCTTGTCATGATTCTGGTAAAGCCATGCCAAAAGTGTGTGCTAAAGATGAAAAATAAAAATAAGTCCTCATAAAAGGTCATAATTAAGTGTTGTTTTGGTTGAGAATGAACTTCTTGAAATTGAATATGTATATGATATGTATATTTGAAATAAATTTAAAAAATGACTTACCGGACCGACATCTTTATTGGGTTTTGCTGCAACATTTATGACAACACTCTCTGCATGAAGTACCAAGAATGTTGCAAATGTGAAGAAAATTAGACAAATGGAAAAGTTCATCTTATATTATCTTTTACTTTCAAGCGTTTTTGTGTTTGTATATTGTGAGATCTAAAAGCAAGAGGCATTTATAGTGTTTGCACATGAAATATCTCTAACGAAAATAGTGAATTCCCTTCTAATGCTCCTATTCTTTTGCAATTCTTTAGGGAACTATGTGGTTTTATTTGCTCACCTATTTCATTGTTTATTATCCGTTTTGACTTTTCTTGTGTTGTGCCAATTTATTTGTACTTTTATTAATTAATTGTTGAATTAAAACGTGAGAGAAATATTAAATTGTATAATGACGCATGATAAGATACAATCAAGTTAGTTTTCAATACAATACTCCGTATTTTTTTCTCAAATAATTGTGAAATGATAATATTTGAGACATGCAATTCACTTTCATTGATTATTTATCAAAGCATATCATTTTCAAAAAAAACTATGGAATGTAATGAAGTTAGGCAGTTAGCTCTAGTACTGGGTGACCAAGTTGTTCTATAATACTAAAACAAAATTCGATGATAAGTTTGGACAGCATATATATAGTTAATATTATTGCTACCAAAATATCATTACAGTCACTATACACAAAAATGAAATATCAACATGATCACTAAAATCATTATGTAAATAATGTTTGATTGATTCAGTCCGATATGATTTTTTATATCTTTGAATGAGGATTGTTTTCATCACGTTTCATTTTGTTATGTTATATCCATAACAATAAAACGAGCTAAAATTGCTGACTTTGCAAGTGAATATGACCAAGTATATTGAAGAGGTTAAAGAGGAGATGTTGGGTACCGCTTTGAATTCGTATACAACTAAAATCAATGTAGCCTAGGCATGGACTCGGGCCGGTCCGGTTCGGGCCGGGGCCGGGCAGGTTTTTTTGTGTGTTGTTGAGACCCGGAACCAACCTGGGTAGCTACCAGGTCCAGGTCGGGCCGGGTACATTATTATTTTTTTTCGAATTACTTCCTACCCTCCACATCCAAAACGCCTCCAAAACACCCAACCCAATCCATTTACATCCCAAAGAATTTGAAAAACAAAAAGAAAATGGTCCGGACCGGCCGGGTCGGTTCATTTTTTTAGGCCCGGAACCCGCCCCTAAAAAATACGGTCCGGGTGGCCCAGATCGGGCACGGACCTGGATACCGAACCGGGCACGGACCCAGATACCGGACCGGGCACGGACCCGGGTACCGGACCGAGCACGGACCCGAGTACCGGACCGGGGCGGGCTGAAACAGTATCGGGCCAGGCTGGTTACGGGCCTGTAAGCCTGTTGACCCGGCTCGAGTCCATCCCTAATAGCCACATCTTTCATCTAGGAGACTCGGACTAACGGTTTCTTTTCACATATTTCCAATGCTTTGCTTTCAACGTAGCCACAACATCCCTATAGATTCGTTGAACGTTACCTTACTTTTTAATTTTAATTTTCTAAAGGATATAAGTACTTTAACATTAGCTAGAGATAAAGAAATGAAGTTGTAAATTAAGATAAAAACTATATATGTATGTATGTATATACCTAAATTTTATTATTAGTTATATTTATAACATAATGAAGTTAAGTGATTAGTTATCATATACTATCCTTCGTTCCGTTTTAATCACATGTTGAATTTTACACTATTCACATGTAGGGATGGACCGGTTCCGGTTCGGTTCCGGTTCGGGCCCGGTTCAGGCCTGGGCCTGGCCGGGCCTCGGTTCATGAAGGGGAGGCCCGGAACCGGCGCGGGTAACCCCCGGGTCCGGGCCAGGCCTCGGTTCTATTTTTTTTTTTTTTGGCTTTTCCTAGTTAACCCCCAACCCTCCCCCTCACCCCGAAACCAACCCTAACCACCTCAAATGGCCCAAAATACCCAGCCCAACCCAAAAACATAAAAAAAATTCAAAAAAAAATGGCCCGGCCCGGGCCCGAACCGGCCGGGCCGGTTCACCTTTTGAAGGGCCCGAGCCCGAACCGACATCCCACCGGGCTGGGTGGCCCGAACCGGCCAACCAACCGGTTCACCGGGCCGGTCCGGTTCCGGATGCTCTACTTTGACTACATTTTACACTATTATTTTGTGAAAATTGTTTTTTTTTAAATATTGTTCAATTCATCTCATTACAAATTTTCAAAATTTGATTTTTAATATTTTTTACTAATAGAATTAAGATATAATTACGGTCAAAGACGTGCTTTGGCAAATGTGAAATGTTGACAGTTGCAACTAAAAAAACGGAGGGAGTACTACGTATGATTAAATTTGATAATTCTATCATTCATATTAGTTAATGTACGTGTATATATATTTTATACACACAAAAATACAATATTAAGTATCATATTTATGCAAAAATATTGAAGAAATGCAATTTCTATGTCTTCAACTGGTCCCCGACTATGCCCCACCTGGGCACTAGGCACTTGACTGACGCTCGACTAGCGACTAACGCCTTTTAGAACATTGGAACTAGCCAATCTAGACATCTGGTTTTCATTTTATTTGTACTGGTACCACCTTTAGCCCAACTCAATCCATGGCTCCGGTCCATAACAGACTGGCCAGTTCCACTCTTAGATAGGGATGGACTCGGGTCCGTGCCGGGTCCGGGTCAGGCCTAGGCCCGGGCGGGCAGGTTCAGAAATGGTGGACCCGGGACCGGCCCGGGTAACCACCGGATCCGGTCCGGGTCCGGGCCGGGCACATTATCATTTTTTTTTCCTCTTCCTAATTAACCCCCTCCCACCCCCAACCCCCAAACCACCCCAAATGGCCCAAAATACCCAGCCCAACCCGAAAATTTAAAAAAAATTGAACAAAAAAATAGGTTTTGGCCCGAACCGGGCCCGGCCGGGTCAGGCCTTGTTTTGGGTGACCCGAGCCCGGACCGGAAAACCCACGGGCCGGGCCTACCCGGACCGGTCACTGACCGGGCCACCAGGTCGGACCAGGCCGGAACAGTACCGGTCCCAGGCGGGTTCCGGGTCGGGCCACCCGACCCGAGTCCATCCCTACTCTTAGAGAGCTTCACTCAATCGGTTTCGGAATCTGAACTAGAACCGTCATCCTTAGGGTAAGCACTCATATTACTACTTGTCTTTTGTTTAGACCGAGAAGCTCGTCTAAAGAGGCTATTTGAAACAATATGTCCTGACTGACCGAAAAACCTGAAGTGGTTTAATCCCAATTACCGGAAGCCGCAATAGGAAGAGTAGAGTAACACAAAATAAGGGATCAGGGCCATCAGGCTTGTCGCCGTTGTCGCCTGTCGGTAATGAAAAAGAGGCCATAGAAGAATATTTTAAGGAAAGGTATGTACCCACTACCCTATGTGTGTGGGGGTACATAACTACGGCAACACATATAACATGGAACCTGGCCACCAAATCCTTCCAAATTAAACTACATTAGAGTTTTGCGTAATAGCTCTAAACCTCCATGTCTGGCAAAGATTACAGCAGTCCTAAATTGTTGAACAAAAAATGACACGCGATTCCTTTTGGTAAAAACTTCACTCTCACAATGGCTGGTTATACATGAATCTCTCCAAATAATGTACATCGGCCCACTTTTGAAGGGAAAAGCAATCTGTGATATATATCTTCATGTAATGCCCGGGAAAATTGATAATCTCCCAATCAGCACAAGCCGCATTGCATTTGAATAAAACAATTCAATAATTGCACTAGAAAATTACAAAACAGCAAACTGGAAAATTACAAAACATGCTTCTCTGCAGTGAAATGACTAAGGTGAAAGCAACAAAATCTCACTACTTTTACAAGCCTTGTGGGAAGTTGTTGATTTGTCCTTCCTCCAAAACATCTTTGTTATTCGCCTTGTAACATATCCTTATCCGCATAACAAGGGATTTCTGAAAATGGAAAAATAGAGATTATGTGGTTATAAAAAATTAAGTACTACTAACAAGTCGCTGATAGCAAAATGCATGCTTGAAAAAAATGTTATCTGACACCATCATTGTAAAAAATCCCATTCAGGAGCTGGGTTGTTTGTGAAGGCCTGTACCTTCCCCACTTTACCAGTCTTCATTATAGCGGGCGTCTTCACACTTCGTATAACATTGTACATGAAGAGAATGTGCATACATGCTGACTGAATTTCCTCTCCACTCATAGGTGGGCTGTGGTAGACCATAACTACATGTACTGTGTAATCTTTGTGTAAATTTCCATCACCTATACGGTCGACTACATTTTATTCCGTCTTACTCCCTAAGCTTTACTATCTTTATCGCATCTTTCTTTTTCATTCATCCAACTAATTTTGTTAGATACCATATTTTGTAATATTTGTATGGTTCAAAATCATTCATGCTTTACAAATTCATTATCAACCCCCCATAAATTCAATTTTAAACATGTGTGTCCCTTTCTGACGTCCCCAAAAAAGTGGGACGGAGAGAATATCAAACTAATTCCCTCGGTCCCACTATACTTTATCAGCTTTCCTTTTATTTAAAAAACTTTGTCACTTTCATTTTATAGTCACAAATTTGTTGTTAATATTATTCCTCTCTTTGGCACAGACCTCGACCAGACATTTTTACTTTCTTATTGTGTGCGTTGGTCTCTTGACCAAGTTTAACTGGACGAGGTCAGTAGTATCATAAGAAATATGAATGATTGGACACCATGATACTAATTGCTTTGTGAGCAATGCATATAAAACAATAGAGTTGAGAGTAATCCAATCATCAAACTACAAAATAAAATAATTACTTCAAATAAATTTAAGTGAAATGCCCTCTTACGCTCCAGAATATTCAGTTAAAGAAATATCAAGATGGAAAAATAAAAAGTACATGCCTTGCCGTGTTGACTGTTTGTGACTCTTAAGTTCTGTGTAATTGATCCGTTGTGACTTGGAGGGAGTGTGTTACTGCTGGCTGGATCCAAATGCAGTTGAAGAAACTATAGAAAAAAGAAGATATCAAAACTACCATGATACAAGAGGTGCATGAAGTTGAATACACAGATTACACATGAGTTTACACCATTGCATCACGTAGCATTATCGTCTTTGTGTCTTGAGATACTGAGAATATGCTCACAATTCACAAAGCAACATTTTTAAACATTTTAAGCACTTTGCAACAAAAGAGTGCTTCCATCAATTTCATGTTTTTCAATTTTCATAAAATGTGTCAATTTTTTTCAACTCAACGAGAGGTAACAAACCGTTAATAAATCAGAACTTTTGCCGATTATTCATGTCTATTGCATCCCAATGCCAGCATGTGACAGGAATGGAAAAAATTGAAGTCCCAATTTAAAATGAGACTAGAAACAGCATCACATACAATCAAATCATATGCTAAAATGTATGCAAACAAATAATGATGTGCACCTTTGGGACTGCAGCCTGGAAGATGAAGTCTGTGAATACATTTTGCGTACTGTTAGTAAAAATTGCCTTAATCACTGTTGTTTGTGGATTCTCTGGCTTCTTTGAGAAGTCAAACGTTAACTTTAAGGAGCTGCTCTCATAAGCAATAATTTGTGGATATTGCAGATCCTTGCTTTCTGCCACATAAAGGCAGTCTATCAATATTTTAGAACATAGAGCTTGTTAAGAACGTACATTTTCAGTTTCTTTTTTGTTTATTTCAGTTGACTTTTAAAGTTCAATCATGGGTGGGTACTTTGAAACAAGTTGCTTTTATTAGTTTTCGGCTGTTTCTGACATACTGGAAATTTGTAGCTCATGACAATTTTTCAACAGCTTATTTCTTCTTTCGGTTGTTTTCAGCTATTTTATTATCAAATCAAGCTGATTCAATTTTTTAAGCCACGTTTCAGCAAATTTTTCCAAAAGAAAAAACGATTCTTCATTCTGATTATAATTTATAATCAGTACTAACAACAATTGATTATGGGAAAAGGGCCAAACAGGTCCTCGAACTTATATAAAAAGGTCAAATAAGGCCTTATATAGGAGGCTCTGTCCGTCCGTCGCCATTTGGGGTGGTTTTCGGTGAAATTTTTTGAGCATCTTATTCATTAAGTCTAGTTTACTCATACCAAATTTCAGCTAAAACTTCAATCGGGAAGGCATGCAAATTAATTCTTGAATATAACTGCGCAGTTAAAAGCGCAGTTATCTTCAAGAATTAATTTGCATGCCTTCCCGATTGAAGTTTTAGCTGAAATTTGGTATGAGTAAACTAGACTTAATGAATAAGATGCTCAAAAAATTTCACCGAAAACCACCCCAAATGGCGACGGACGGACAGAGCCTCCTATATAAGGCCTTATTTGACCTTTTTATGTAAGTTCGAGGACCTATTTGACACTTTTCCCATTGATTATACATACAATCAACTAATGAATTTACTGCAATCATATCAAATTTTCAGCACACTTTAAACCAGTAGCTTAACTAAGTTCAAGCACTAACGAAAAATGTACCGATAGATGGACTTGGAGAGATCCCATCCAACAAATCCATCATGGGAGAATTTATAGCAGGTAACAAAGTTTGTGCCAAAGGCGAGGACAATCTATCCAATAGGTCTACCGAATTTTTATTGTTCCCTTCAGTGGTAAGTGCTTGAGGCGGAGATGGACCACTATTTTGAGCCAGAGGAGTTCCGATGGACAAGAGATCAAGCAGGACATCAGTCCCACTCTTTTGTTCGTGATTTAAACCTGAGGAAATTAAAGTGATAAATTGTTATTGCTTCATATTAGTTCTAGGTTGAGCAGGTACCGTAATGCCAAAAGCCAGTTCATGACCCGTTTTCAAGAGAAAAAACAATGTATACTAATACTAGTATAAAAGAGCAACTGGTATGTGCTCATACTTCAGTGTTCCAACAAAACTTCAGTGAGTGGTGGTTCATGGGGTGAACTTGACCTTCCCCTCCCCCCTCCAAAAAAAGTGCAGGGAGATTTTTGGTTGTATTTTCTTTTTCTTTTCTTTTCTTTTTGGACGGGGGGGGGGGGGGGGGGGGGGGGGGGGGGGTTGAACTACTCTCCTAATTTTTTGTAACCAAATGGGTGAGGGAACATTTGACCTCCATTCCCCTCCAATAATCCCAAACTAGACACACTCTTAGTCTCTTACAAGACAAACCTGGTTGTGTTGCAGCTGGCGACAAATCAATTCCAAGAAGATCTTGAAGGAAGTCCCCACCAGAAGAACTAGGTGCTGGGACATCGTCTGAACCAAGATCAAGTAAATCAAGAAGGGGAGCAGACACTGGTTTGTCAACTCCATTCGGAACTTTAACAGATGGTCCTTGTGAAGTTGAAACAGCTCCTGGCACAGAACCAGCCCTCCTTCCACTATAAGTGGCTTCATCTAAGACTGGCATTCTTTCTAATAATGTGGGCCTGAAAATGAGCATCCGATATGTTTCACAGGTAAAGGCGGCAACTACCAGCTTTAATAAATAAAAGGAAAAATTGATTGTAATAATCCCAACTATTGGCAATCCGCTCATAATAATCCAAACTATCGATTATTTCAGAATAATCCCAACTTTAGGGACCTTCCGCCAATAATGGTCCGACGTGACCGACTATAAATAAATTCATATAGTTTCTAAAGAGATATATCACGTAATCCCTATAAATAATCCCAAATTTTAATTTTTACGCATAATTTCTATTAAAAATTCACTTGTTAGAATAGGTAATATGCGGTCATGGACCATTATTGGAGGACGGTCTATATAGTTGGGATTATACATAAATAATCAATAGTTGGGATTATTGTTAGCGGACTGGCAATAGTTGGGATTATTATTTTCAATTTTTCCTAAATAAAAAGGCAGAGTTTCTTAAGATATTCAAGAATACCTGATTTTCTGGTACTTGGAAATAATAGAGTTGAATTCCATAGCTCTCTGTTGGAGTTCAAGAACAAAACTTCCCTTATATTGAGCTATGGTGTCAGTTATCCTCCTAAAAAAATATAAACATAAACATAACTTAATATATATACACAACAATCTTAACCCCATCACTGTCTCATATTACTTTTCATGAAAGTGAAAAACAAAAACGCGACGGTGACAGTTTTGGAAATTCAAACCATTATTCCTTTATAATAAGGTTGCAACTCGGAGGGAATCCGATGCAAAACTTCAGAGTTGTTTTGCAAGAGCCTGTAGTGTTAATCAATAGTAGACGATCAATTGACACAAGTATCATGCCACTGGCCCTGATATAGTTGGGATTACGGTGATTATTTATACTATAAGTGCTCAGTTTTCTTGGTCATTTTTATTAGACACACTTGATCCTCGATCATTTAATACTTCCTTTATGATACTATAGAGCCTAAGCATTCTTCAAAAGCATTAGTAAAAATATCTGGAATAAATTAATTTTGTGATGTGAGGTGATGCCAGGTTATTAGAAGACATAATTTCTTACTGTTAGAAGTAATCAACTTGATATTGGTTTTCAGCACCGGTTGCATAACATGACCAGCTTTACATGATAAGGTCATTATACAAATGAGATAAAGCTATTGAAGGATAAATTACACATACTGAGAACAAGATGGAAAACGATTTGAAAGCTTCAACAAAGCAATAAGACACATTGCCCGGGTAGTCAGATCGCTGGAATGGCTTGTGAGTGCAGCGACTACAACATCCACTGTGTCAGATTCAGTTACCTGCCACAAACAATTTTACTTGATATGCTAAAGAAAATGGAGATGCCTTTAATGCAGAGAATAAAGAAAATTTGGCAGCACATTTAATTCCACTACCCAATTATCTTATCCATGATATTAAAGGCAAATCCATGACTCAAACTCATGCTTGAAAAACTACCATTCATCTCAATAGGCTGGTGCACTACACTAAACTTGCACCAAACTATGAGAAAAAACTGGAGTAAAAAGTTTTAAATTGCTCTGAGTATTAGATTGACAGACTTATATGAAACAGTACGGTATTATTTTTGGAAAAAATTACCTTTTTCAGTTGAACTGAAAGAAAATAAAATCAATACTGCTACATTTGAAGTGAAGACTGGCCCCCTCCAGGCACCCATCAAAAATATCTTTTTCGATTTTCTTACTTTAGGAAAGAGAAAGGATTGAAGATGCAAAAAATCCATCAGCATTAATAATCTTATGCACTCAAATAAACCAGTGTTATTGAAATTCTATGGGAACAGACAAAGGAAAAGCTTAGCATTTGTTTAAAGGAGACTGGACACAAGGTTTTTCGCTCATCACATTCAAAGATAGAAGTAAAATAATTCTCCTACATTTAGTGTTTTCAACCCATTAATACAAAATCCTTAGCATACTTAGAAAAACAGCCACCAGATTTACTCCACACATGTCATGTTCTTGCCTTGGACATAAAATTGCAACAGATGATTAGGAACTTACGGTGGCAGGCTCTTCTATATCAAGCATTGCTTTATTTGAAACCAACATTTCACCATATTCTCCAATGCACCAAACTGCAACTCTGACAAGAATTTCCTTACAAAAGCACAATGTAACAGATTAGTAATAAGTAATAACGCATTGTGTCATAGTAAAGAAGATTACTTTTAACGCATTGTGTCATAGTAAAGAAGATTACTTTTAACACATTGTGTAATAATGCATTGTGTCATAGTAAAAGTGCTATAGAAACATAAGCATTACTTTTTACCTATGTTTAAAGAACTGGACCAGACCGGGCGGGTCGACCCGGAAACCGGCCAACCGGCTCCAATTCCGGTCCGGTTAACCTTTAGCCCGCTAAGTTGATAAAAACCGGGAAAACCCAGTGACCCGGGTAGAACCGGCCCGCACCCGGAACCGAAGGAACCCAGTTTTTTTCGAAAACACGGATAATGGGATAAAATGGCGCATGCAGGATTCAAACTTGCATCGCCAGGAAGGAGTTTCGGCTTCCATTCCACTCAACCAGCTTCACTCGTTGGTAAATATGTAGCTACGTAGTATTTATTAAGCATTAACAATTAGTTAACTAAACAATTCATAATAACAATAATAAGGCATATACACTCATGCTTATATGATACTTCCCATTATGTATACACCGTATTATATTTCATATTTCAATTATATGTGAAAATATATATCTATTACGGAGTATATTTTTAATATTTTGTAATTGATGTCATATCTATATATTTTATCCATATACAACCAAATCTATTTTAATTTTTTAAAAACTAACTCTGACATAATGATTTCTTAATTGAATTATATTGTATCATCATTATTAATTTATGAAGGAATAACATTTTATACCTATAAAATTTAATATTATATATGTATACATATATATGTGTGTGTGTGTGTGTAAATATTAAATATTATATATGTGTGTGTTGACCGGGTTTTCCGAGCGTTGACCGGGCTGACCCGCCGGGTCCGGGTTGACCCTTGACCCGGCCATCGCTCCGGGTTGCTCTCCGGTCCGGTTTTTACAACATAGCTTTTTACCCTACAACAATAAAGAAGATACCTGCTCTCCTGCAGTTTGCAATGCCCCATATAAAGATCGTACTGCATATCCATGGAGGTTGGGAGCATTGGTAATCACCACAATGAGGGCATGCCAAACTTCATCTTTAACATAACTTCCAGCCTAAAATACAAAAAACATCACTCATTCACTCTAATGCACAAGGATGGATAAAAGTTGACGAGGGGGGAAATGGTGCACTATTGAAAAGCACCAGATATCATGAAATTGCAGACATACTATTTGTTCAGTTGAATTGAACAATCCATTTCAGTAATCATTATGACATAAGGCAAGCCCAACAAACTCTTAAGTTTAGAGTACAGTCTGCAATTATGCATACCTCAGATAGAACCTTGAGCATCTGATCGATGTACCAAATTTTATCCGGGTAAAACCTGCGTCAGCATATTGTAGTGATGACAAACGCATTTGAAAATATGTTTGTCCAAACAGACATTTATATGTAGGAAAACCTTCTAATCACTTACTTCTCCACTATGGAGCAAATTTTGGTAGTGAGATCTCCTTTAAAATCCGGTTCACTCACTTCCAGATATTCAATAAGTTCCTTGGTCAGAGGCTTTACATTGCTTTCATTGACTAGAAGAAACACAAGCTCAAGGGCCCTTTTGCGGATTGAAGGGTCTGAATCCTGAGTGAAAATTGATGTATGAAGTTCTAATGTATAAGTACACACATGGAAGGAAAATAAAAGAAAGCAGTATGTACTTTCTTGATTTCAGTGGAATTTGAAGCCTAGATGATCAATGCAAACATCTCCCCACAACCCCACAAACACAAAGTCCACCATGCAACTACACTACACATTAACCCCGATCTGCTTGGGATAAGATGAATTGGTAATGTCATTGTGCACTCTACATATTTTCTACATGAGATCAGAATCTTTAACTACCTAATACAAAGTGTTTGCGATCATGCTATGATTCTATACAATATACATGCAGACACTAGCACGCATATCATCCAATCAGCATTAAATTTACACTCCTACTAGATACTTCCCCAGAAATAATGTAACAAGAGAACATTAGATTTTGTCTCCAGGTATATTTGACCAGATAACATTGGCAGTGCCTACAGAGCCTGAGTACAATATCCGGAGAGGAGGATAAGACTAGGTATGTATTCATATAAATTTTCCATTTTGCATGGTATCAAAGTAGCACTCACCAATAATAACAAAAAAAGAGAGCAAATTACCATTAGACTACAATATTCTTAAGATATGGTATAAGTTGCTAAATGAGTATATTAGAGTAAAGAAAAATGAAAATCTAGAAAAGGAAAAGATATGCCTATGTGAAATAAAGTCCAAACTATAAACATATAGTACCTTCACACATTCTAAAATTGTTACTCGATGCCTCTGCACTGCTTGACTATCCACCGTAACTGCTCGCATCAGCATGTTCAGTGCCACATATCTGAAGATTATTTGGAAATCTATGAGATGGACAGAGAAGAAAAAGAAAGAACTATATGCATTACCAAACAGCTATGTGAACTTCAGGGGAGAGGGCCAAGCACGCTCTCATGCCAATATGCATTATAAGTTTATAACTAATGAAGATAACCTGATATTATTGTCACGGTTGGATAAAAATCTCCCCAGGATATTGATAGCAAGCACGCGTAATCCACCATTATCTTCAATGCTCATAATTGTGGCAACACATCCGTACAGAATGGCATTGCCAGCATTCTTATTGGATTCAGTTTTTGTAGCTACCTAGAAATATAATGTGGTGTCTTAAAAAGTCTTAAAAAAGAAATCGAGCACCAGACTTTGTATTACAACACAAAATAGCATCTAAGGCCTACACCTAGAGAAGCGCAAGTATACAAAGAGGGTATTTTTTGTGACTTTAGTATATTGTTTATCATGGACCTATGGAATTAAAAAATGTATTTTTCCTGTTTGGATATGCCTTGGGAAAATTTGATCAAAATCGAGTGCTCAAGAAAAATCACATGGCTGTAAGAGTGCTACAGTGGCGGAGTAAAGTGTGCATAATGACTTGCAGCTTACAAGGGCAGAAGCTGAAAAATTTTGTTGATGAGAATCACATGGCCCGTGTGATGGATCGTGACAGGCCATTTCACATTCTATTTAGGTATAAATCAAAGCAACCCAATAACGCCCCAGTCTCATAGGGTGTGATGTCCACTGGGACTTCTCTGGTGGCATATTTAAACCTCCTCCATGGAAAAAATTAATCATTTTATAAACCCAAGAGACGACCTGATGCAGCCCTTGAGGCTAGTGATTTTCAAGCAATGTTTAGCCTCAGACACTCATTTTGAAGTTCCAATCGAAGAATGTTCGAATAGCAGAGTTTCTTCATGTTGAATTTCCTCATGTAAAATTCAAGTTGAGGTTTTCAAAATGATATGGAGTTAAACCTTCTGGTGCTTGAAAATAATGAAACCCAAGGACAAAACTTGATTTGTAGTTATTTATTTACACTGATCAGAATCTTTTTATTGTGACTAGTTACATGTTTATATTGTTGTCTTGAATTAAAAAAAAAAGATAATATGACAGTATGTTTAGATGATAAATGACAAGAGTGGCAGACAATCAGAGGGCATGAAGTCATCAACCTTCCATCACGTTAGGGTTATGTCTAATAGTGAAATTCTTAGGTCTTTAATGCAATCATAAAGGCTCTTAAATCATAAGAGATTCAAATTAATTAAGCCATGCGTATGTGCTTATAGGGTTGAGGATCATTAGCATAGTTTAAGAATTACGGTATCACAATTGATTGTGTTGATTGATTGTGTTGATTGCATGAATTTTGTAGGGTAGTGAAGTCCTAGTGGGATCCATAGGTCGACTAGTCATTCAGTAATCTGGATTGTTCCTTAATTTTTTGCATTGCATTACTTTGGTATAAACGTAATCTTTTATAAATACAGAGTAATAAACAACTAAAATCAGGAAGTGTGCCATTTGAATATTTGATAAATGATTATAACGCGAGTACTCCTCACTAACATGACTAATTGATAATCAGGTCAATCAGAAGTAAAAAATGATAATATGACTGTATGTTTAGATGATAAATGAAAAGAGTGGCAGACACCCAGAGAGCATGAAGACATTAATCTTCCACCAAAGTCAAGTCAAGTTTAATAATGAAATTCTTAAGTATTCAGTGCAAATATAAAGGCTTTTAATTGAGAAGAGATCCACTAAACGTTAAGAAATCTGGTCTATTTTTTAGTTTTTTTGCATTCAACTACTTTGGTTGTTATTTGTAAACCTTAATAATTTTATGTACAATAGACACCTAAAATCAGGCAGTCATTTTCATTTTCATCATTTTCATTTACCCCAGTGCCGCAAAGGCTCCCACCTACGGTGGGGTAAGGGGGGGTCGGATGTACGCAGTCTTACCCCTGTACTAAAGCATAGAGAGACTGTTTCCGGATGACCCATAGTGAAAATCGCGTCCAAGATTGCATGAACTGACTGCTGCTCCATAACAAAGAAGCGCAGACAGTTTAGTGAGCCATTTTGCTTTATTCCATCATAATCTCAAGCCAAAAAATAATGAATCTTTGGCTCCATTGCAAATGATGGAAAAACCTAAAATCAGGCAGTATGCCGCGTCAATTTTTTATATGAGAATATGAAGTGAAAGTGCCCTCTTATTAGATAGGCAGATCAATGAATCAATCGGAACCAGAAATGGTACATATGTAGCAAGAAATGAAGAAATGGGGGCAATAATTGACCTGAGCCAGAATATCATTCATAGAATCACTTGCATCAGCATCACCTTGTCCCAAGACACGCAACAGCTCGAGCAATCTTATATGAAGAAAAGGGTCTGTGATCCCTGATATATCATACTCGGGTGCATAAGGACTATTCACGACGTCCTTTAAAACTTTGACTAAACCATCTGTGGATTTCTAGAACAATAGAAAAGGCGAACAATAAATGGGCTCATCAAACTGGAGTTATAATAAACTGCAAAACTGCACATACAAAACACTGTCTTAAGAAAAGCCTTAGAATGAACTTCTTCTGGAAACTGCAAGCCTATTATGAAAGAAGAGTTACAGCATAAACTGAACAATCAGTTTTTAGAAGATATCATGACAACGACATAATGAAAGTATGTTTTATATTCACCCAAAAAGAAGCAAAGCATAAACAATTTTTTCTCACATTTCAAAGATATTTTTCCTGAATCAAGGTTCTCAATAGAAAAGGCGAACAATAAATGGGCTCATCAAACTGGAGTTATAATAAACTGCAAAACTGCACATACAAAACACTGTCTTAAGAAAAGCCTTAGAATGAACTTCTTCTGGAAACTGCAAGCCTATTATGAAAGAAGAGTTACAGCATAAACTGAACAATCAGTTTTTAGAAGATATCATGACAACGACATAATGAAAGTATGTTTTATATTCACCCAAAAAGAAGCAAAGCATAAACAATTTTTTCTCACATTTCAAAGATATGTTTCCTGAATCAAGGTTCTCATGGTATGATGCATGCTACATTATAATTAATAAGGTTGTGAGAAGAGTAATCAAGTACATGTTTGAGCTGAGAGTGGTGGGATAGATTGATTTGCTCAAATAAGGTTGACTTTATTTTGATACCTCCATCAGCTTTACTATATAAGAAATGATTTACTAGGTTTTCTTCCTTTCCTTATTGTAGGTACTTCTATGAATGTATTCCCTGTTATTGAAGGGAGTTTTCTTGCTACTAAAACATCAAAGAATGAACTTTAAAGAAAACTGAAAGGTTTCTTAAGGAGAAGGAAACTCTATAAATTCAAACCACTGTTCCTTCTTTGTTTTCCTTCAAACTTCCATGCCAGCCTACATCACCATCTTCCCCACAACTCTAATCACCCCATCAACACCAACCCCATACATAAGTGACGTAGTAACATACTACGCATATTATATGTACATGAGGTACATCAGTAGATGTTTATGTACATATTCATGAACAAATGATATGCACTACAACCCGTATGTGAGAAAGCACCAAAGCATTGATTGCTCTTGAAAACAGTGCAATAATAGTAGCTCTCCTAATTGCTTTTAATTCTCACAAACATCACTTCAGGTGCAACGGTACAAGTATCAATTTACATTTTATACTATGTAAAGTTTTGACACGGTATCACAGGCGAATGATAAACCCAATACCATATTTTAATCTACCACAAGTTTACCAATATGTTGAATTGTAGAGCCTCTTCAAAACAACAGTTAATGGTATGAGTCCAAACTAAGGCAGGATAGGATTCCTCCGGTAATCATTCATGCAGAAGAAATACTTGAACAGAAGATATATGAGGCATTGAGGCCAATAATTTGAAACAGAAAATCCAAATTCGGAAGTTATATATAAAATGACTAGTAAAGATGTTCATTATTAGGTTACCTTCCTAAAATGTTCAAGAGCCTCTGTGCTGACTTTACATAGATCTGTGCATAGCTGAACACCAGTTATTAGAACTCCGTGATGCTTCTCTTTCAGTAAGGAGGCTGCAGGGTTTATAAAATTTTCTGCGAGATCTGGAACTTTCTTTATAATCCTTATCGAGCATAACGCAGCCTGCATTAACACCAAAGTTTGAGAACATACAGAGATGTAAGTGAAGTACAGCTTCCATGACTTCCTTCAAATTTCCTTCTCCAAAAGTTTTAACAAGTCACATACTAGGTTAAGGTACAAGATAGTCCCTCTGTCCTGCTAAAGTTGTCCCACTAAGATTGTCTCATACCAAATTTGGTAATGTTTGTGTGGTTCTATATATCGTTCTTACTTTATTCTTACGTTTTATTAATTCAATACAAACACATAAACTAATAGAGTTTTGTAGTATCTTGGGGGGCATGGACCACCTTTTTATGTACCAGGCTTAGAAGGACTGAGGTAGTAGATAATAGAGGTTCGTACTATCTTGGGGACCATGAAAATTAAAAAATTACTCACAAATTCAGTCAAATTTACGTTTTCAAAAATAAGGATTTAGTTGCCATCAACAAAAGAGGGAGATATGGAAAACAAAATTAACAGGATCCAATACATGAAATTAGTTTGTACATGCATATCAAAATTAAATACCACCACACTTTCATGTTTGTCGTACTATAGTATTTTGAACTTCTCTAACTAATGAAAGCAAAATTATGAGAAGGAAAATATTAGAACGTATTTGATGGAAAATTATACTGGACAAATCCGTCAGTGGAATGAGTGAAAACTGAAACGTAATACATTGATTATGAATATACTGAAGAAAAATTGTAAAAGCTAACCCAACTGAACACAAAAATAAATCAAAACACTTACTTTTTTACGAACATTTGGATCTCTAAACTGAAGCAATCTTTCAACTTCTGGGGCAAGATCGCGTGCCATTTCTGCAGAACAAATATTTCCCAATGCACAGAGGGCAAGTCCAACAATATATTGGTTGGTGTGGTTAAGATCTCTGTTTTTTTAAGTCAAGAATTCTTAACATTATATGAATTTTATTCTCCTCCCAGCAATAATTTGGCAGTCATAACTTTATTAAATTCCTACACATGATTCAAAGAGTTTACATTGATGGTTTTCCCCTTCTCTTTGATATTGTACTATGGGTTAACACATTCTGCATACATGTAAGGCCCCTAGCAAAAAAAGAACAAGACAAACTAAAATAACTCCAGGCAGGATACTGTTTTATCGAGTTAGTGACCAACATGAGAACTTCTTGTCTTTCATCCAGAAGCAACATAAGGCCAAGATATCCTATTCTTTTCTCAGGGAATCCTGGAGATGCAATTAACTTCAGGCATTCCATTTGACCAAAGTGTGTTGGATAGCCTAGCATGTGAATGAACATGAGTTTCGCAAGATTGCGATGCATATAATCTTGATCATTCTCACTTATTGCTGCTCGAATTGCAGCACATTCTTTTCTCACAACAGCACGTTCTTCTGCTGCTGTTTTGCATGCACGTATAGCACGAATCATGTCCCTGCAACAATCAGAAACTCATAACTATATCCCTTTGTCAGATTATAAAAGTTATGATAATGAGCTAATATTCCATATCATTGAATGCCAGGCAAGCAGGAAGCTTGCGAGATTCTGACAGTAAAAATCAGTACATGGAATCCAATTCAAAAGTATGTGAGCTTTCAGGCAGTTGAATGAACAGATGAATAAAAGTAACTATCGAATGTCACATCCTGATCACATTTTATATGATTTCAGTGGGCAGACATGGAATTGCATTGAAATATTTCTTGTGTACATCACCCATAATCTAATATTCAGAATTTAGTTAAAACACACCACTGTGAAAGTCACCCAAATACAATTACATATGCAGCCTTTTTTGTGAATTGTGAACAATATCTCTAGTGATGCTTTCTTCCATTGTATGAAACCTGGGAATCAGGTTTTAGATTGAGAACCTCAAATGGTGCACAGTTATTTTTCGTATTCAACCATTTAGATCAGTTACCAGTGGGTAGGTAACTGACCTGAGACGGGTGCCAGATGAGAATGGATTCATGATTGGGTCCGTTGTGAAGCTCCTGGAGAGCTCGACAAGATCCAGGTGTGCGGGCAGTTGCAGAAATTAGTAGCTTGACTCTCCTCCTACGGTCCTACCTCCAGCCTCCTATGAGCTTGATCATTCAAATGCGTCACAGCGCAGATTCTTTGTTGGAGATCTGTAACCGAATTTCAAAGATCCAAAGAGGAAATAACGACAGCAAATTAGATCTATGAGAAAAAAGGACAGAATTATGTTTATCTATCTATCTACAAATTCACTATTTTCAATCAATAAATCTCAGTTTGTTGCATTTCTTCCCGTTTTCTTCCGAGTACCCTCTTTTCACCTTTTTTACAGGAATGGGCACAGAAATATTAGAGTATTTTGAAACTATTTTTCCTTTCTGCTCCTTATTACTCCCTCCAGCGAGTTCTGAAAGATCTTTATATTTTTACTTCACAAATATTAAGGAGTTTTGACACTGTTTGACATTGTTTGGCACTGTTTGGTATAGATTTGTAAGGCAAATAATTTTGGGATTGCCAAAAAAGGAAAGTGTAAAAAACTTTCAGGATCGGAGGGCGTACATTACTAGTAAGGAGCAACTTTGCGCACCGTAAGTATTTCTTTGCGCACCTCTTTTTGAACAGTCGTGGGCAATTATACCTATGCATATATAATTTCTTTTCTATTTCAATTCGTACCCGTTATTCCTTGTGTTTACATTTTCAGCTGTAGGGTTATTACTTACTACTCCAGAACTCTGTATATATTACTCCGTATTAATAAGTAACACTTCTCTATAAAGTGTATTCATATTTTAATAAAAACTCTAGAAATTGATAAATTAATTATTAATCTTTATTTCAAAATCTATAGCCATTTTTAGAGTTATTTAACTCCATTAATATTGTTTATCACTTTATTGATACTATTTTACTTACTCCTTGGTATTTATTACAATATCAATATAAAGATGCTTGTCCAAATCATACTTTGCACCCGTTTTTAAAAAAAAACTTTGCATTTGCACTCCAACTGCATATGAAAAGACAAAAATGCTCTCCATTAACAATTCTATTGGCCTTCAACATATTCCTGGTCGAGGGAATAATTGTCTTTTCATACGGGGTTGGAGTGCATACACAAAAAATTTTAAAAACGGGATGCAAACTCTAATTTGGACATTATACGGGGTGCAAATTCAGATTATCCCTAAAATATTTAAGCTGAAAAATATTACCTTGTAAACAGAAAACTTGATTAAAAGTTGATGACCTACCTTGATCCAAGATTTAAAATAGGAAAAACTAACATTGATAAAAATAACGTACTTCAAAAGCGTGTGCGTTATATATCATCCAATTTTGTTAAAAACTGTTCTTCCGGCCGTGGAAATGAAAATGTTTTCTTTTTCAAAATTATCACTAAAATAATTTTTTTTACATAAATATGATCAATAGTTATGTTATGGTAAGTTAAATTTAAAACTTGAACATAAGTTACTATGATTTCATTACTACTCTAATCAATAATCATATATTTTTGTAAACAATCTTTATTTGTCTCATAAATATGTAATTATTTCAAATAAAAACAACCTGAATCGATGCATATTTCTGCTTACTGACGGTGCATGTTTATCATTAAGATAATGAACAATTAAAATTGACAGAAAAAATTAATTTAATCACACATGTCAATACATTTATGATTTATTACATTGCACATTTTCATTTCACAGTGTACAAAAATTATATACGTAGTAGTTAATATTTTAACAAAAAAAATAAATCTTCCTTTTCTTTCATTTTTTAATATATTCTTTTGCGAACTTTAAATTTATAATTTATTTTTGATTTTTTTGAATTTTTTATTTATTTAAAGTCAATAAATGTAAATTTGCTTCTTTATAGGTACATTAGGGATATGTTTGCAATTTTTAGAAGTTCAATAGTATATACGTACCTCCACATATACTTTGGGGGTATATTTGCACATTTTCCCTACTTTATGTTGTACAATATAAATATATATATATATATATATATATATATATATATATATATATATATATATAAGAGATCAAATACAAACCATGCTTAAAATACTAATCTACAAACTCAATAATATGCATCACTTTGAACTTCAATGTGTAATAAAAATAATGTAAAGATGCAGGGTGGGATCACATACAAACTAGTCTTCCCATTCAAATCATCTTTGCATTATTTGTATTGCACATTGAAGTTCAAAGTACTTCATATTATTCAAGCCATAAAATAGCAGTTTCATATTTACATTATTTGTATTGTATATTCAAATTCAAAGAGTGCATATTTACATTATTTGTACTGCATATTGAAGTTCAAAGTATTGCATATTATTGAATTTGTAGGTTAGTAAGTTAAACATGGTTTGTATGTGATCTCATATATATATATATATATATATATATATATATATATATATATATATATATATATATATATATATATATATATACACACCGTATATATTAATAAACATCAAAACTATTTTCCCTCAAGATTTGATTTTAAAGAAGTCCCTACCTATAAACATCAAAACTATTTTCCCTCAAAAAATATTGTTAAGCTTGACCTTGTGTTATTTTGAATTTAAAATTAAAACGACACGGAGTATTGATTTTAAAACAAAGAAGCTCATTCTCAAAATTTTATGCAGATGGGAAACAAAAATAAAAATAAGAAGAATGGGCATTTATGTCTAAAAGAGGTGTGGTCAGTAAGTTTTGGGGTGTATAAAGCAATACCCTTACTAGTATGTGTACCAGTGCACTTCACGGGAAAAAATATGTATTTAAATTTTGGGGAAAATAATTAAAATATCCCAAACTTTGAAGGGATGTTAGATAAACACCCCGAACTTTCATATATAATTTAAATACCCCAAACGTTATATAAAAAGTTATTTTAACACCATGGTTATGTGTAATTTCTTTCAAAAATGTAAATTTATGGTGTTAAATGCATAATTTAAAATAGAAAATTGAAAACATTATAATTATATATAGTGGTGGGTAATACTATTTATTTTACAATGGAAGCTTAGAATGTTAATTGTATCTTTATGAATGCTAAATTTATCAAGCTTGAAAGAAATTATTCATGATCATAGTGCTAGAATAACTTTTTATATCAAGTTTGGGGTATTTAAATTACATATGTAAGTTTGGGGTGTTTATCTCCCACCTCTTCAAAGTTTGGGTATTTTAATTATTTTCCCATTAAATTTTTTACTAGTATTAAAATTGTAGGAACATGAATTGTATATGAATTCGTCAATTAGAGTTTAAAAGAAAATCCAATCAACTATGAATAGAGCCGTCAAAGTGAGTCGAAGGGTTGCAGGTTAAGTGAGTTGACTCATGCAGGTTGCAAGTAAACCAAAATATAAACATCTATTTTTTACTTTCATTTTCTTCAATATTGTTGATTTACTACCAAAATAAATTTCAAATATACTTATTAATTTACAACCCTTGTTGAACTATTGTTTCTATATACTATCCTCCGTTCCGTTTTAATCGCAACATGTTGAATTTTACACTATTTACATGCTCTACTTTGACTACATTTTACGCTATTATTTTATGAAAATTATTTTTAAAAAAAAGTATTGTTCAATTCAGCTCATTACAAATATTCAAAATCTGATTTTTAATATTTTTTTACTAATAGAATTAAGATATAATTACGGTTAAAGACGTGCGTTGGCAAATGTGAAATGTTGACCGTTGCAACTAAAAAAGAACGGAGGGAGTATAATAATTATTCAAATAAATTGCTCTAGCGTTATTTCTATATATGAACCTGAACGTTAGATTTGAAAATTATAAATTATATATAAGATTGAGTTTAAATGAGAAGATACCTTAACATGTAAAAGAGAATTAGAATGAACTGGAATGTTAGATTTGAAAATTGTGCATTATTTGAAATAGAAATATGCGCTATCATTAAAAAAATGTAGTAGCATTTTTGTAAATAAATTCAACCTTTCATGTCCATTTAAAGTCTGAATTATAATATAAGTGTATTGTGCACCTCCATTAAATAATATGCATCGTTTGAGATCACTCTCATCGTTTGAGACCATTAGTCGGTGAGACGATCCAAGCTACGAAAAACATGATCTATCATAGGTTGGGGGTAAGATTGGGGAGTGCTAACCTATTTAACAACATTAACATAAATTGAAAAGTATAAATAAATAGGGAGAACTATCAAATAAGCCCCCGAACTTTCATAAAAAGTGCAAAATAAGTCATTTTACATGAGGCTTTGTCTGACTGTCGCCATTTGGGGCGGTTTCCGATAGAATTTTTTGATGAAATATTTTGAGCATATTCTTCATTAAGTCTAGTTTACCCATACCAAATTTTAGCTAAAAAATCAATCTAGAAAAAAGTCAAATGATTTTATGAAATATATTGTGCTGCCTAACTGCGCAGCTATCTTCAAAAATTCATTTGACTGCCTTCCCGATTGAATTATTAGCTGAAATTTGGTATGAGTAAACTAGACTTAATGAAGAAGATGCTCAAAAACAATTATAAAAAAATTCCACCGGAAACCGCCCCAAATGGAGACGGACGGACGGAGCCTCCTATAAAAGGGCTTATTTGCACTTTTTATGTTAGTTCGAGGGCTTATTTGTCAGTTCTCCCTAAATAAATATGAGACAGAAAAATTAATCTAAACTTAGATATTTATTTGGTAGACCTTTTGAATTAATAAATCGATAAGTAATATCACATTTGTCCACTTAAGATCGAGACATGTGCAACTATTAAAAAAGAGTTTTTCTAGCTAATGTTGAAATGAAAAAGTAGGGACAATAATGTAAGAATGATTTAGAACTACACATGCATTATAATATTTGGAGATACACAAACTTAGTGAACAAAAGAAAAGGACATGTTGGAGAAAATTAATGAGACAGGGGAGGACAGAGCCCGAAAGCATGCTGCCCTGGAAGAAGAGATTATGATCAGAGACAAGGTCGTTGCGCCTTCTGCCCCAATCAAGATGGCCGATCGGCTGGGTCCTACCCCAGCGGCCGCTCTCCCTCCTAAGCAAGGGCGATTTACTCTCCTGGTCCTGTCCGTGGCAACCATTTATCAGAACGAGAAGGACAACATTCCCCTTCCGACTAATTCTTCAAATTATATGGGAGCAGACGAGTCTGCTTTTTGTAAATGTCATAACAGGAAAGGTCACGCCACCAACGCTTGTAGGTCACTACAAGCGGCCATTGAGGACTTGATCCGGCGGGGTCATCTGGGCAAGTACGTAAGTAAAGACCCGAATGCGGTAGGCACTTTAAAGCCGATCAGGAAATCCAACAGCTGGCGATGGGATGCCCA